ACTTTGTCTAGATACATTGAAATATTCGTCAGTTCGATGATTGAAGCTAGGCTCGCCATGCAGCGTCAAAATGACATAAATCGTAAGTTCATTATCACCAACAAATGTTCATTCCATCATATTACTTAGCTGAGCTGATTTTTCAGAAGCTCTTATGTCGTCCGAGGCCTGTGGACCTTTCTTTGATCCTATTATGGCGGCTAGAAGCCAAGGAATTCTTGGTAGTGGCTACTTTTATGAAAGCCATTCATGTCGCCCTGGCAATTTCCACATGCCCGGTTTTGTATACATTAGCTGCGGCGGGCGTTCATTGTCTGCAGGATCTGTTGGAGGTCGTCCTGGTCCTTATGCTCGTCCACCCAATCCGGCAGCTGGTGTCCAGCGTGCGCCCTCTGGGCCTGGACCTATGCGTATTAATTCTTCTGGTGGGCCCTGGTGTGGCCCGACACATTCCAGTCTGTCTGGAGTTGGTGGAACAAAGCTAGGAGATCATCCTTTGCTTGATGAATGGCAAAACACAGCCTGTCTCTCAATCCGAATGCGTGGTCTCCCTTTCTCTTCTTCTATTGAAGATGTAATTGCCTTTCTGGCTCCTCTTAAACCATTGAATGTCCATATGCGGCTTAATTCCGTGAGTACATTATTTTTAAAGGCAGATAATCCTTGCTATACTTTTCTAAAATTGCTTATCTTTCAGAGTGGCCGACCTAGTGGCGAAGTTGATGTTGACTTTTCAAGTCATGGTGAAGCCAAAGAAGCAATGAAAAAAAATAGAGGGAAAATAGGTTCACGATATATCGAGCTATTCTTCAACTCTTCTGTTGGCAACGGGGTGTTAGGCTCTAAACGGGTTAGCATTCAGTTACTTCTATTTGCTTACAATTTACCAGTAAATGTGCTTATATATTTTTTTGATTTAATAGGGAGCCCCTCATCTGAATGCCAGTGGTTTTGTTGGCCACAGTGGTCCTTTTGTCCCTAGTCTTATGGGTAACAGACCGGATCACCACTTACGTGGTCCTAGAGCCTTCG